ACAGAAGGGACTTGAATTTACACAACCTGAGGATGCTTCCATATCAATATGACTAATAATGGTTTTGCTGTTTTTGTGAAGAAGATTTTTAAGGATTATTTGCCAATAGTCAATATATTCCCATGTAAAACTTTGATCCCTCATTGTGGTTCCACCCTACCTTTGGGGTTAAAGATTTTAAAAAATTGAATCTACCCTAAGTGAGGATGCTTCCGAATCAATATAACTAATCATGGTTTTGCTGTTTATGAGGAGAAGAATTTTTTTCAAGATTTTTATGTAAAATTTTGATTCCCCACTGTGCCCCACCTATGCCTTTAGGGCCATGATTTGAACAAAATTGAATCTACACTTTGAAATAAAGTTTTCAAGTTTCCACATAAGTTCTTCCATGGTTCTTGAGAAGAAGATTTTTTAAAGATGCCACCAGGATCACTTCTTTATAAATGGATCTTGGACCTATAGGACCGGGATTGGTTTTAATCTTTACAAAAAGCTTGTCGATTTCGTTACGGTCAATGAATTTAGGCTATATACATGTAATAATTTGCTTATTAATAAGTGGTTCCAACCTACCCCGAAAAAGGGGGGAGGGGGGGGCTATGATTTGAACAAACTTAAATCTACACTAAGGATGCTTACATATTTCTTTGACCAATTGTGGCTTTTCTCCACATCAGTCTGAACTTTCAATGTGGTCCCACCCTACCCCCAGGGGTCATGATTTGAACAAATCTGAATCTACACTACCTGAGTATGCTTCCATATAAATATGACCAATCATGGCTTTGCTGTGTTCTTGAGGAGATTTTAAAAAATGAAGTCTGTGAGCAAATGCTCACTAGTAATACCCCGGCTCTGATGTGATTTTATACACTCTCATGTTGACATTGAATTCATACAAAAATGAATCTCACCATTTGGCATGCCTAAAAATTTCAAGCATCTGCATTGAGCAGTTGTGGAGAAAAATGTGACGGAAATTTGGTACGGACAGACGCACGGATAAACAAAAAGTTAAAATCAGAATAAACAAAAAATGAATCCCACCATATGGCATGCCTAAGCAAAGAGTGTGCTAAAATTTGAATCATCTGTGATGAGAAGTTGCTAAGAAAACTGCGACAAAAATGTTACGGACAGACAATTTGGTACCGACAGATACACGGATAAACAGGAAGTTGACATTAGATTCGAAAAAAATGAATCCCACCATATGGCATGCATAAACAGTGTGCTAAAAATTCAATCATCTGTGATGAGTAGTTGCCGAGAAAAACTGCAATGAAAATTCGTTACAGACAGATGCACGGAAAATAGGAAGTTGACATCGGATTCAGAGAAAAATGAATCCCACCATATGGCATGCCTAAACAAAGATTGTGCTAAAATTTCAAGCATCTGTGCTGAGTAGTTGGTGAGACAACTGTGACAAAAATTTGGTACGGATAAACAGGAAGTTGACATCGGATTTGAACAAAAATAAATCCCACCATATGGCATGCCTAAAAAAAGAGTGTGCTAAAATTTCAATTATCTGTGATGAGTAGTCTGAAAAAACTGCGACAAAAATCTGTTATGGACAGACACACGGACACCAAGACAGACAGACACACACACAAGGGTAAAATAGTATACCCCCCTTTCCTTCGGAGTGGTAGTATAAAAATTCTATGTATTACTATGTATAACTTTGCTCATCCATTGTGGCCCCACCCTACTCCTAGGGGTCATGATTTGAACAAACTTGAATCTACACTACCTGAGGATACCTCCTAATAGAGAATAACCAATCATGGCTTTGCTGTTCTTGAGAAGAAGAATTTTCATATATATTTCTATGTAAAACTTTGATTGTCCATTGTGGCCCCACCCTAACCCCCTGGGTCATGATTTGATTTTTCCTATTCATTCCTATGTAAACCTTTGATCATCCATTGTGACCCCAACCAATCTCCAGGGTCATGATTTGAACAAATCTGACTCTACACTACCTGAGGATGCTTCCATATAAATATGACTAATTATGGCTTTGCTGTTCTTGAGAAGAAGATGTCTAAAGATTTTTCCTTTATATTCCTAAGTAAAACTTTGATCATCCACTGTAACCCCACCCTACCCCTGGGGGTCATGATTTGAAGAAACTTGAATTAACATTACCTGAGGATGATTCCACATGAGTTTCATCTTTCCTGGCCCAGTGGTTCTTGAGAAGAAGATTTTTATAAGATTTTTATCTCCCCTTGGAAAAGGGCATGGCCCTTTATTTGAATAAACTTGAATCCCCTTCACCTTAGGATACTTTGTGGCAAGTTTGGTTGAAATTGGCCCCGTGGTTCTTGAGAAGAAGTCGAAAATGTGAAAAGTTTACAGAGAGATGGACAGCTAGACAGATGGATGCCAGACAAAATGTGATCAGAAAAGCTCACTTGAGCCTTTGGCTCAGGTGAGCTAAAAATTAAATCCATATGTCATCCTATACTGTTTGAAAACTTTAGATCTGAAATTTATCGACTTCGTACATGTATGTATTTCTAAATATATTTTTAAGCTCAGATATAGTAAGTTGTACGTATACTTTCCAGCGCAAAATCGCAGACAAGAACTAGTAGTACAGGCAGAATAAGAGCAATGTAATACACTAACTTGATTAAATTCCAAGGAACATATATATACAATAGAAATCCATCGCAGCTCATGCTCATGGCAGGCAAGAATATCTGTATCGAGTAACACAGAGTGAATAATTCTTGTCCTCGAAGAAAGTGTGCTATACTTAGGTATAGTTCCACTTTACTGTGTTTTAGTTACAGTGAAATGTAAGATTTGCTTTCTCTTTAGTGTCTTTTATATCAAGAATGAACAGGCGTAAAAGATAATTGAAAGAAAAAATACAAGACCCTATAAAAAAAATAAAATAGACAAGAATTAAAGAGTGTATAAAAGTGTGCACCAAGTGCATTCGAACCATGACTCAAAAAGTATCTTTGGTGAATATACCCAGCTGTTTTACCGATCTAGCTATTCTCAGACTGCATTTGAAAATAGTGTGTACATGTATAAATGCGAAGTAGGTTTTTAAAAACAAGTTTCCTTACTTTTTGTGAATTTCAACCCTAGGGCAGGGGTGCCCTTAAAAAATTCCTTTCTTAAATTATTCCTTTCATCACAACCTATCAAAATATCATAATTTTATTTAGGGGCAAGCCTGCCCTGAAGAACTTCTAGACCAAAATTCATGCAAAAAATCTGTGCTTTAACGGACAAAATGCTGTTTTGGCCAACTTGGAGGTTAAGTTTTGAGTAAAATACAGCAAAACTTGTCTAATCCGGACACCACTGGTTCCAAAGAAATTGGCCAGATTATGCAACATCCAGGATTAGACAACATTTAAAACAATTAAATTTACTGTAAGGGACTTAAAGCTTACACTGTATTAGGCAAGATATTGGATTACACAACATACAAATTAGACAAGTTTCATTGTACATATTTGTTAGCTAACAAATAATGAACATTGATTTTTAAAAGTGACTTTTTAGGGAAATTGTTCTCTCCTATGGGTCAATTGTTTTCAAACAGTATTTATTTTGATAGAATAATGTGGGAAAAGAGCACATGAATTTATCTATCTTTACTTTACAATGTCATGAAATTTATATTAGAGTGTGATCAGGAGAGTACTTTACAAGAGAAGTACAATAGAACTTCAATTTCTCAAACACCTATTTCTCGAATACCAGGGATATGTCAAAGTGAATTTAAAATCCCAACTATGTTTTCTAAATGTTTTTACAGTTGTCATCTCAAATCTTCAGATTTTTCGAAGTTACATTTGGTCCTGCTAAGGTTTGACTGCATTATAATACTTGTATTATTATACAAATCTTACTGTGTGTACCTTAAGAGAGAAACATTTTACTCCCAATTTAATTTGTAGTAGAAACAACACAGAAATTTATGTTTTAATCAGACATACAACAAATAAGCCCCTAGAAGAAGAAAAGGTCAGCAATCACTCGAATTTCATTTTTTTTTAAAGGCCTACAGTCTGGTTTTAATAAAAACAAGATGTGTTTGTGAAACACTGAATCAGATGCCCCGTATGGCAGCTTATGGCGAAAGTTAAAGTTTCTCAAATGCAATTCAAAATCCAGGCCAAATGATAAAAAATGTTGGTACCCAAAGAAAGGTCTTGTGTCGAGGAATATACCTGTGAAATTTGAAAGACCTAGCTGCAACTGGCGAAGGTTAAAGTTTTTTATAGGAAGTAAAACGTCAAGGTCAAGGTCAGAGTGGTTGGTATCCAAAGGAAGCTCTTGTCACAAGGATTACAAATGTAAAGAATGAAAGCCCTAGCACCAACTAATCAAAAGTTATGGCCAAGGTTAAAGTTTTCAAAAGTAGGTCAATCTCCTATGTCAAGGTCAAAAGGTCAAAATGGTTGGTATCCAAACGAGGGTGATGTCACAAGGATTACATATGTGAAGTATGAAAGCCCTAGCATCAACAATTCAAAAGTTATGGCCAAGGTTAAAGTTTTTCAAAAGTAGGTCAAACTCCTGTCAAGGTCAAAAGGTCAAAGTTGTTGGTATCCAAAGGAAGGCCTTGTCACAAAGAATACACATGTGAAGTTTGAAACCCCAAGCACCAACTGTTCAGAAGTTATGGCCAAGGTTAATTTTTTCCAAAAGTAGGGCAAACCCCAAGGTCGAGGTAAAAAGGTCAAAGTTGTTGGTATCCAACAGAAGGCCTTGTCACAAAGAATACACATGTGAGATATGAAAGTCATAGCTACAACCAGCCAAAAGTTAAGGGCAAAGTTAAAGTTGACAACAGGCAGACAGACAAACAGACAAACGGAAAAACAGACAAATGGACAAACAGACAGACAGGACAAAAACAATATACCCCCGGGATCTTTCGATCCGGGGGCATAAAAATATACTTAGTTTTAATATCATGGTCAAAGGGTAATAAACATGATGTGATGAACACATTATAAATGAAAAGCTTTACCTATTTCCTCCAAAAAGTTTGCTCTTTCACTGTCAAATTCACCATCCACCTCATTTGATTCCAATTCAGTTTTTTCGTCTGTGTTTTTGCCTATGAAATATCATGACAGATTCTTATTTTATTCAATGAAATAAAAGGGATGAATAATGTAAAACCAACAATAGGCTCATGGCCCACAATGCTAACCTGAGTCACTTTGGCCCTGCTGTTCTTCATCAGATTTTTACCCATTATACACACGTTTTCCTATGTAAAATTGAGATTTGCCTTTTTGGCCCCATTCTATATACAGGGGCAATAGTTTTCACTAGATATCATTGAGATGGTGGCCATCCCAAAGGGCCCTGCTTTCAGCAAAGAACATGAAAATGTAAGGTAGCTTAAAAGGGTTTATTTTGCAGAGGAACATTTGTGTACCATTAAGGGATGTGTTGTTTGAGTCTAAAGAGCTTCTATGTCATCCTTGTTATAACAAGAGGCCCAAGGGCCTTAACGGTCACCTGAGTACAATACAACAATTTAGAGGATCCATAGAGTATTAAAATGAAATGAAAGGTGAAGCTTTGTTGCCCAAAAGCAAGAAAAATAGGGTGATCAGGATCAACAAAATAATTAGTCTACTATTCATTAACAGTTCATAAATTAGGTTCTAATCTGTTCCCCATTTATCACTATCACCATACAGTATATTAACAAACTATCAGTGCTTTTGAACTATTTAAATTCCTTGTTGTAATCTCTTACATTGGCCTCTCTTGGTCTTTGATGAACATTTAATAAGACAAGTTATTTTTGTCTCATTTTTATTTATCTATTACTTACAAGTCCACATGATCATTAAAACTATGAAAATACTTTTTGTATTATACAATAAAAATTCTTGCATAATTCTCTTATTCTATTAATTTTTAAAGTACATTATTTACAATGATTAATTATCAAAAGTAAACAGCAAAGGGGAATAACTCCTCTCAGTAGAATGCAAATTAATTGAGCCCTGGCTAGGACCAGAACACTTGACCAAATGGTCCAGATGTTCAAAAATCTGGTAAAAATACCCTTCCTTATTACAACTTTTACACTTTTTGCCTCTGATATGCCCAAGTGCAGAGAACATTTTTAAAGAAATAATGCATTTTCAATACAGATTCACTATATTATCAATAGAGCCCCTTGCCCCCCTCCCCTTCACCACCGAGAAACACCACAGCCTCTCACCCTGGGACCAGAAGTTTCAAGTTTGCTCATCATAAGTAATCACTTTGTTTAACTGCTTAACATTAAGGAGCAGACAGGATCATTTAATAGAATTAATGCATTTTCACTACATTATCAACAGCCCCACCCTTATACCAGCACATCTGACCCAGGGGTCATGCAATTCACTACTCTGGAAGAAGCACTCTTGCTAATCATAACTATATACTTAGCTTCTTTGCTTTTTAACCAGAAGCAGAAAAGAATATTTTCAAAGAAATTTTGATTTTTCACTATATAATCAATAGAGCCCCCCCCCCCCCTTTTGACCAGGACCCTTGACCCTGGGGCCATGAAATTCACAATTTTAGAAAAGGCATCCTTGCATATCATAACAATGTACTTAGTTTGTTTAAATAGTACCCAGGGGCAGAGAAGAAGATTTTAAAAGAAATAATTCACCTTCACTGTAGGAGCTATATAGCCCCATCCTAGCACAAGAACCCCTGTCCCTGGGGCCATGAATTTCACAATTTTGGAAGAGGTGTCCTTGCTTATCATAATAATGTACTTAGTTTGTTTAAATATTACCCAGAAGCAGAGAAGATTTTTAAAGCATTAATGCATTTTCACTATATAATAAATAGAGCCCCCCCCCCCCCCAGCACCAGAACCCCTTACCCTGGGGCTATGAATTTCACAATTTTGGTAGAGTCACTCTTGCTTATCATAACTATGTATTTAATTTGTTTCAATAATACCAAGGAGTAGAGAAGAAGATTTTTAAAGAAATAATGCACTTTCACTATATGATCTATATACCCCCCCCCCCCCAGCACCGGAACCCCTGACCCTGGGGCCATGAATTTCACAATTTTGGTAGAGTCACCCTTGCTTATCATAACTCTGTATCTAATTTGTTTAAATAATACCCAGGAGTAGAGAAGAAGATTTTCAAAGAAATAATGCACTTTCACTATACGATCTATATAGCCCCACCCTAGCACCAGAACCCCTGACCCTGGGGCCATGAATTTCACAATTTTGGTAGAGTCACCCTTGCTTATCATAACTATGTATTCAATTTGTTTCAATAATACCCAGGAGTAGAGAAGAAGATTTCAAAGAAATAATGCACTTTCACTATATGATCTATATAGCCCCGCCCTAGCACCAGAACCCCTGACCCTGGGGCCATGAATTTCACAATTTTGGTAGAGGGCTCAATGCTTATTACAATCATGTCAACAGTTTGACTGCTAGATGTCCAGGAGTTAAGAAGAAGATTTTTAAAGATTGCATTAATTTTGATGGTTTTAGCCCCACCCCTCAGGCCCCAAGGGGGCAGGGACCGTAAAATTCAAAAATTTTGTTCCCCTTCACACATAGATGCCATATGCAAAAATTGGCTGAAATTGGTTCAGCAGTTTCAGAGAAGAAGCTGAAAATGTTCAAATGTTAACACACGACGGACGACGACGGACGAAAACAGATAGCAATAGGTCACCTGAGTGACTCAGGTGACCTAATAAAAAATGGCACAAAAATCAGGAGTGCTCCATACTCTCTATCAAAAAGGGCACAAAAATCACGAATGTTGCATATCCTCTATGAAAATTGTTGCATATCTTCTATCAAAATATGAAAGAAAAATCACAAATGTTCCGTACCCAAAGTCAATTGGCAAAGTTTGAGACTGACTTGACTTAAAGGAAAGAAATTATGCACCGAACAAAGATTTTAAACAGAGAGGCTATTTTTGACCTTGACCATTGACCTAGAAACTTTGTTCAAGGTCACTGCACAGTGACACTCTGTGAGTGAAGTATGAGTCACACTGGACCAAGAGGAGAGAAGATATGTTCCAGACAAGGATTTTTCTATAATTCTGGTATGACCTTAACCTTAGACCTAGAAACATGGTTCAAGGTCTCTGCACACCAGTTACTCAAAGACACTCTGTGGGTGAAGTATGAGCCAGATTGGGCCAAGGAGAGAGAAGATATGCTCCGGACAAGAGATCTCGGATGGACAGAAGGATGGATGGACAGAAAGATGGATGGACAGACTGATCACTATAGAGCGCCAGCAGAGCGGGGCCCTAATAAAACTAAATTTACACTTCCAGAGGATGCTTCTATATGACTAATTATGACCTGTTCTTCAGAAAAGGTTTGTCAAATCTTTTCCTATAAATTCTCACGTAAAACTACTTGCACAATTATCTATTGTGGCCCCTTCCTACCCCTGGGGTTCAAGATTTCCACAAACTTGAATCTACTTCATCTAAGGATGCTTCCACATTTACAAAATGATTCATCACAGCTTTCTTGTTCGTAAGAAGAGAAGTTTTAAAAGACTTTTTCCCTATACAAGAGGCCCAAGGGCCTTAACGGTCACCTGAGTACAATATAACAATTTAGTGGATCCATAAACTGATAAATGGAAGCTTTGTTGCCCAAAACCAAGAAAAATAGTATGATTAGCATCAACAAAATAATTGGTCTAGTTTTAAAAGACTTGTTCCCTATACAAGAGACCCAAGGGCCTTAACGGTCACCTGAGTACAATATAACAATTTAGAGGATTCATAAACTGATAAATGGAAGCTTTGTTGCCCAAAACCAAGAAAAATAGTATGATTAGCATCAACAAAATAATTGGTCTAGTATATATCTGTCCCCCATTTATCACTTTTACCATGCAGACTATTAACAAAATGTCTTATTTTTTAACCCCATATTATTACTTCTCACATTGGCCTCTCTTGGCCTTTGAAGAACATTTAAAAAGATAAGTTATTTTTGTCTCATTTTTATTCATCTATTATTTCTAAGTCTACCTGATCATTAAAACTATGAAACTACTTTTTGTATTATAAACAACACATATTCTTGCATAATTCTTGTATTCTATTAACCTTTCAAATACATTGTTTACAGTGATTCATTATCAAAGGTGAATGGCAAAGGGGAGTAACTTTGCTAAGCAGAATACAAGTTAACAGAGCCCTGGCCAGGACCAGAACACTTGACTAAATGGTCCAGATGTTCAAAATTCTGGTAAAAATAACTTTGCATATTTAAACTTTTACTCTTTTGCCTCAAATATGCCCAGAAGCATAGAAGTTTTCAAAGAAATGCATTTTCACTATATTAGTAAATAAATAAAGCCACACCCTTACACCAGAACATCTGACCCAGGGGCCATGAACTCACAATTCTGGAAGAAGCACCCTTGCTTATCATAACTATACACTTGTTTCTTTGCTTTACAACTAGTAGTAGGAAAAAATATTTTGAAATTATGCATTTTCACTATATAATCAGAAGAGCCCCTCCCCCTTCACCAGATCCCCTGACCCAAGGGCCATGCATTTCACAATTTTGGAAGAGTCATTCTTCCTTATCATAACCATGCACTTCCTTTGTTTGAATAATATCCAGAAGCAGAGAAGAAGATTTTGAAAGAATTTATGCATTTTCCCTATATAATCAATATAGCCCAGCACTAAGACCAGAACCCTTGACCCTGGGGCCATGAAATTCACAATATCTGAAAAAACAGCCAAGCTCACCATAAATATGCTCTTTGTTTATTTAATACCCTGGAGCAGAGAAGATTTTCAATGAATTAATGCATTTTCACTATATAATCAATAGAGCCCTGCCCTAACATCAGAACTTCTGACCCTGGAGCCATGAAATTCACAATTTTGGAAGAGGCACTCTTGCTCATCATAACTATATACTAGTTACTTTATTTAATAACCAGGAGCAGAGAAGATTTTCAAAGAATTAATGCATTTTCACTACATAATCAATAGAGCCCTGCCCTAACACCTGAACCCCTCACCCATGAAATTCACAATTTTGGAAGGGGCACTCTTGCTCTTCATTACTATGTATTTAGTTACTTTATTTAATACCCATGAGCAGAGAAGAAAATTTTCAAAGAATTAATGCATTTTCACTATAAAATCAATACAGCCCTGCCCTAAAACCAGAACCCTTGACCCTGGGGCCATGAAATTCACAACTCTTGCTCTTCATAAGCATGTACTTAGTTAGTTTATTTAATACCCAGGAGCAGAGAAGAAGATTTTCAAAGAAATAATGCACTTTCACTATATGATCTATATAGCCCCACCCTAGCATCAGAACCCCTGACCCTGGGGCCATGAAATGCACAATTTTGGTAGAGGGTTCAATGCTTATTACAATCATGTCAACAGTTTGACTGCTTGATGTCAGGAGTAAAGAAGAGGATTTTTAAAGATTGCATTAATTTTGGGGGGTTTTTCCCAACCCCTCAGGCCCTAGGAGGGCAGGGGCCATGAAATTCAAAATTTTTGTTCCCCTTCACCCATGCTATATGCCAAATTTGGTTGAAATTTGTTAAGCGGTTTCAGAAAAAAAGTTAAAATGTTCAAATGTTAATGCACAAATCACGACAACGGACGAAAACAGATAGCAATAGGTCACCTGAGTGACTCAGGTGACCTAAAAATCCTATGTAAACTTTGATTGTCTATTGTGGCCCCATTCTACCCCTAGGGGATCAGGATTTGAACAAACTTGAATCTACACTACTTAAAGTTGCTTCTACATTTATACGACTAATCATGGCTTTGCTGTACTTGGAATAAATTAAATATTAAACTTAAATTAGCGACCCCACACCCTTTCACCCAAGTTTCATCTTTCCTGGTCCAGTTGTTCTTCAGAAAAAGATTTTCAAAGATTTTCTTATATATTTAAATGTAAAAATTTGATCCATATTATGGCCCTGTCCTACTCCCAGATACATGATTCGGACACTTCATAATCTAAACTACCTCAAAAAGTTTGCAAATAAGTGTCATCTTTTCTGGTCCAGTGTTTCTTGAGAAGAATTTTTTCCCTATACATTTCAATGTGAAACTTTTCCTTAATGTGGCCCCATCCTACCCCTAGGGGTCATGATTTAAACAATTCGGAATCTTCACTACCTCACATTTGTTTAACCTTTTCTGGACCAGTGGTTCTTGAGTTATGACCCCGCCCTATTTTTGTCTCTTTTAGATTATTTCCCCTTGGAAGGGAGCTTGGCCCTTCATTTTACAATTTAAACTCACCTTCCCCAAATGATGCTTTATTCCTACACTGGTTAAAATGCATATGGGCCCAGTGATTCTTGAGAATAACTTGAAAATGTGTAAAGTTTATAGACAGATGGAGGGACAGTTGATGGACAATGGAGGATTAAAAAGAGCTCACTTGAGCTTTCAGCTCAGGGGAGCTAACAATATTTTTAAATAAGAGGCCCATGGGCCTCATCGCTCACCTGAGTAACTTTGGCCATGCTGTTCTTAACCAGATTTCCCTCTTGTAATACTTATTGTGGCCCCGCCCTACCCCCGGGGGTCATGATTTTAACAATTTAAAATCTACACTATCCCAGGATGCTTCCACATAAGTTTCAGTTTTTCTGGCCCAGTTGTTCCTGAGAAGAAGATTTTTAAAGTTTTTTCTTACATATTTCAATGTAAAACTTGGATTCCTTATTGTGGCCCCGCCCTACCCCGGGGGGTCATGATTTGAACAATTTAGCATCTACACTACCCTAGGATGCTTCCACATAAGTTTCAGCTTTTCTGGCCCAGTTGTTCTTGAGAAGAAGATTTTTAAAGATTTTTCTTACATATTTCAATGTAAAGTTTGGATTCCCTATTGTGGCCCCACCCTACCCCCAGAGGTCATGATTTTAACAATTTAAAATCTACACTATCCCAGGATGCTTCCACATAAGTTTCAGCTTTTTTGGCCCAGCGGTTCTTGAGAAGAAGATTTTTTAATGACCCCACCCTATTTTTGTCTTTTCTTGATTATCTCCCCTTGTAAGGGGACCTGGCCCTTTATTTTAACAATTCAAACTCCCCTTCACCCAAGGATACTTTGTACCAAGTTTGATTAAAATTGGCCCAGTGGTTCTTGAGAAGAAGTTGAAAATGTGAAAAGTTTACAGACGGACGGACGGACGGACAGACAGACAGACGGACAGGCGACGGACAACGGGTGATCAGAAAAGCTCACTTGAGCTTTCAGCTCAGGTGAGCTAAAAAGTACATACAACCTCTCAAGAGCATACAAACCCTGTCTCTTTAATTACTTTAATTTTAGTCCATCAGTTATGTACATTACAGTTTATATCTCTAAAAGTCAAAGTTATGACAAGCCGAACCAAAATCGTACAACCTTGAAAAATGTCATTGGCTGTATTCTAAGTTCTAACAAGAGATGTTTGTGAAACACTTATGCCCCCCCCCCTCCCCCAAATATCCCCCCAAATAATTGGAACTGTTCTAAGTCCAAGCGGCATAACTCTGTCAAAAATTGTTCAATTGTACCCAGAACAGAATGACCTAGATATTTTTATGATAAATCTGTATACAAATTTCACTTCAGTACGTGCAACCTCTGCAAAGAAAATGAAAGGAATCTGCAAATAATTGGAATTTTTCTAAGCCCAAGGGGCATAACTCTGTCAAAAATTGCTTGATTGTACCCAAAACAGAAATTGAGCTAGATATTCTAATGATAAATCTGTAAACCATTTCAATATGTGCAACATCTGCGAAGAAAATGAATGGCAACTGTTAATGGACCGACAGACAGACAGACAACAGACAGCAGCAAAGTAATATGCCCTCCCTTCTTTGAAGGGGCATAATAAATAAATATTAAATGCAATCCATCTATTTAACCAAACTTTTCCTAAGGTTACAAATCTCATTAAGGAGCCCTACAAAATATTTCCAGACATATGAAAGGGCACCAGTTGTCACAATGTGTTTTATAATGAGTGCATACCTTCATATGAATCCAATGTTAACAAGACTTTCCCTGCAGTTTCCATTAACCTTACAGCTGGTGGGCATTGGTAAATATTTTCATTAATGAACTTTGAATGTCCCAAGTGCTTCCGTATAAAAAAGTCCCTTTCCTCTGGAGATACATCCAGGGATTCATAATAAGTAGCTATGTAATGCCTCATATCAGTTGCAGTTATATTTTTTTTCATTTCGGCATTTTTACAAACTTTATGAACACTCTGCCATCCATTTACATGATCTAATGAGTTTTCCGTATTTGCAAAGATAAATTTATTTTTAGGATGAACACCTGCAAGTTTTCTGTTCTCAACATCTTTAAGCATTTCAAGTCCTTTCCAACAGTCATCTGGTATTATTACTGATACAAGTTCTAATTTTTTGGATGAATGAAGATAAGCACATATTATTTTGCACATTAGTTTTTCAATATCTTCATCGATTTTCTTGAAAAATGTTTTGTCTGCCCATTTATTACTAAAAGCTTCTTCCAACTCTGATATTGTCAATCTCGTTGCCTCTCCTCCTCTCCTTGCATTAAATAATGTAAGTCTACAGGCTATCAAATTCCTTAGATTACAAAATATTCCCTGATTCATTGGTGTATAAATATCCTCTACTATTTCTGTAATTTTTTCCTTTGTAAAGTCTCGCAACCTCTGGTATTCTTCAATACTAGGCAGACGTGTAGGAGCTCTAGACTGGCTGTGCATCTTATTCATCAGCACCTCTCTAGCTGTGATGAAAAAATACTTCCAGTACACTTTCAACACTTCCTGAAACTCTTTTACTTCTTTTGCCAAAAGTTCTTCTCTCTTTATCAAATAGGTAGCATACAGTGTATCACATACTTCAACTATCAAAGATTTTAATCCCACCTTCAGTCCACATTTTAGGTCATCTACTTCAGAGTCAAAATTTGTCATTTTTTGAACAGCAGCAGAAAACAATTTAGCAGTACCTACTTTAAACATATCAGCACAGCTCTTTAATTCTATGCCACTTTCTAAAGCCATACTTTTGAAATTAATGAAAAGCCTGGCCAATCTTCTTAATTTGGATCTTAAGGTATTCAACTTTTCTGTTGCTTTGATAGTTGACCCCTTCCAGTTTTGGAACTCGACATGTCCAAATTCTTTCAAAAATTCGTCACTTCTTATAATTTGTCCTGGTTCATCTTTATGAAATGTTTCTAAGAATTGAATATAGTCCTGTGGGTAACTTTGTTCTTGAAGCACTCTCAATACCACCCTAGTAGGAGGTGAGGTAGTCTCCTCTGCAACTTTACAATTTCTGACATGTTTGTACATTAGTTTCTTGCTGATAAAAGCCTTGCAGAGTGAACACATTGCTAATTCTTTGTCAGTGCCTTGATCTCTTTCTTTCAACAATTCTTTCATGGATTCCTCATTTATATCCTTTGACTTCAATATGTGTGCATTGTATTTAAATATTCCTTGCCTTTTCATGTTTCTAAATGCACGTTTCCTTTCTAGTCCTGGAAGGCTCATTGCAGCTTTAACTTCCTCTTCGTTTTTGTGACATCTTTGTATGTGTTTTGTTAATGAGGACTGTAGCTTCATGCAAAATGGACAGGGTCTTTTTGGTTCTTTTTTTTTATCACCAACAGTCTTCTTTGAAATTATCTCAGGAGCTGCATAAACAAGAAAATTGAAAGCTAATTATTCTTACACCAACTTTCTCATAAAAGATGAGGAAGCATGAAGCCAAGATTTTAAAAATTCCTAGATGGATATACATAATCTAAACATTCATTAAGTTCTACTGTTAATCTCAATTCTCAGCTATGAAACATAACATTCATCCAAATATTTAATGAAGGGTCATATTGAGAAACTAGTAAACCATCTGTAATTAATACATGATTAGGAAAATAATGAAGTTATGCTGTTTGGTAAATTAAAAAAAGTATGCATATTATCAAAAAAGTACAGTTAATTGCATTTGGCTTACCTGACAATGCATCTTCTTCCTCGGAATCTGCTTCAGAAGAGTTTGGTTCTGATACTTCTGGTGACAATGTTGATGAACTCACTTGTAAACTTGTATCAATCTTACCATCATCCAACTGCAAATAGAAAGCATAAAATGTCTATCATTGTCAAGACTTTTTTATGACTAATAAACAATATTTATGAGTTTAGCAAAAAAAGGTTTTTCTAGTATACAATCTCCACCATAGGAAATTCAGTTTTTTTAATGCCTTCACAAAGCATTCATGCCAACCTCCAACATCTAAAAGATCAGAGCCATGACCCTTTTTGGAAAGTAAACAAGAGGCCAGAGGGCCTTGAATCACTCTTCTGATAAACTGTACAACTTATCACTTCTATCCTGTATATTTAGATAAAGCCTTGAAATTCCAAACGTAGGTCATCATGACCGACATTTTAGATGAAACACTCTGAGAACCCAAGATGATTCTAAGCCATCAAGAAGTCTGTGAGCTAGTGCTCACTAATAATACCCATGCTCTGATGTGAATACACAAGTTCAGTTATGGACAGACACAGTGATAATCAGGAATTTGACATCAGATTTCTACAAAAATGAATTCCAACATATAGCATGCCTAAACAAAGAGTGTGTTAAAATTTCAAGCATCTGCGATGAGTAGTTGCTGAGAAAACTGCGACCCAATTTTTTTCTGTATGTTACGGACAAATGCACAGATTAACAGGAAG